TAATTAACGAAAACGCGGATATTAGTGAAATGAATAGGTTAGCAACAAGCCTTTTTGTCATCTTTTTTTTTTTTGTATATTAAATCAATTTGATTTATAATTTCATGTGTCACATGAAAAAAATCAAGAGTACACAAGTTTGGAACAAGGAGAGTGAGCTTGACGTTTTTTTTATCTCTCTGTTATTAAGTAATTCGAAACAAATACTTCGGAACTTTAATAGAGCAACTCATCAAACATTCCAAGTCTCCTAATCAGACTGGCAAGATAGAAAAAATTGAATATAGAATGGAATTAATGTTAGACTAAAGGCGAGTGACATGTTTCCTTACTTCTACTACCTAAAAGTGGCTGTAAAAATACACAATTGATGATAAAGATAAACTGCACTCTGTTGTCCACTAGATCCACTTAAGACTATGTCAAGCTGGTAAGAGAAATCTGTCAATGCACTTGGTAATCCCTTCCAAGCGGCATCGAAGCCTATCTAAAAGCACTGCAATATATAGACCCCCGATGGATAAAGAAGATCATTTAATCTATGAAGCGCTGTTCGTATATGATTCGATCTACCCATACAATTTTGTGCAATCCTACAAATGCCTAAATACGGCGCTATGTTTCACACGTTAGGCAGAAAAGGTAGGACGATTGACCCTCATAAATTTGAGCAGTAAATAGTTTTCCTCGCATTTACGTAGGATACCATTGGTATTATTTCATTTGAAACCCAAGTTTCAAATTGTAAAAGATTTTGTTTTATCTTTACCTAGATCATTTTCAATTTCCCGAAACAACAGTCAAAAATATCAATAACATACAAAATAAAGTTATGTCATGGGCAATCGCAGGGAACAACGTGTCCTTTTAGCATTAGCAAATAGCATAGTATCTATGCTGTTTATAATTTCTGGCCCATATATTTCAGCAAGTCGTTCTTGAATATTGTTTTTACCTTTATATTCACTTATTGGCCCAGCTTTGCCATATGTAACCATTGTTTTCATTATAATTTTATCTTAATCAGCACCTCGATCAAGGTTGTTGGTTTCGGCTTTGTGGAAACTTAGAATTGTCTTTTGTTTCACACTTTACTGAACTTCAATCACGCATTAGAATTAAAAATCTGAACAACGGTGTGTCTATTTTTCATCAGAAAATTATACGGTTTTTCAGGCCGCATTTTTGACCTTTTCAATTTGATACTGCCTCGCGACATGACTCTTGCTATGGTAGGCTGTACTGCGTGAAGATTTACCTGGGCCAGTTTAGAAGCGCTGCATAATAAGGAGTTAATCTGAAGGAAGATCTTAGGAAAAATAAAATATACAGCACCCGAATCCAGCGAAGATGCCATTGCCAACTGGCTGATCATTTGAATGCTCTGCTCTTGACAGCAAACGTAATATGATTTTTTCGCAGGCACAATGCAGGTCTGGACAGCTGAATTTGTAAAACAGCTTTTCGTACAAGTAGGAAAATGCTTAAACTTTAGAAAACTCTACACATCAACATCCGACGATTGAGTTTAGATCAAACAGCTTTGATAATCGTAATCAAAAATTTCATATACACAAAGAAAAAATATCTTGATGTCAGGAGAGTTTTACAGAACCGTTTAAAGCATTTTGTGTCTTATACATTATACGACTTTTGTCGAGTTTAGAAAATAAATTTAAGAGATTTACCGGATGTCCTTATAAAGGTACCAGGGGGCCACAAACGGTGTGATGTTTGTCACAATTTCTCTCGTATCTGAAGCTCCTACATGTATTGTGAGGTTCGTGGAAGCCTGTTTTCCTGCAGATTCTATCAAGGAAACCATGAACATTGAAGCGAGTAACGACATGCCTGTTTAGCCGGTCGATATTTCTACAATTGTTGCTTGCCGCACCCGAAACAAAAAAAAATCCCAACAAAACCGTGAATCTTCGCTCCCTGTTCCTTAAGGGTTTTAGTTGCTGGGAGCTCAAAATGAACTAGCTTCTTAAAAAACAATGGCAACTCAGCTTAAAGCTGTGCGATATTCCGGGTAGTTCAGGTGCTCTTTTGAGAAAAGAGGCTTTGACGCAACTGAATTGCTTAAAATGCTTCATTGTAAACTCGCCTCAAGTGACGTGTATTTCATACTTTGCAATTGGATCTACTGTGGGGTCGAACAAGTTAAGAGCCGTTGCAAGGGCAGGCGAAGGACGATTCGATCGTCCATGCGGCTAACACTGTTTTCCTGCATATTTTGTCGACGTATGCAGCGAAACTTCTAGCTTTCTTGGAAAAGAACAGCTCCATGTACGCAAATCGGTTACATAAGTAAGAAACAACCAGGAAGTACCAGGTGTCAGTAACTATCGTCTTGCCTCCTCGATCTGAACTTTATCACCTACGTATTGATCAGGTTCGGAGTCAGTCCAAAATCTATAACTGCCTCGTAAAGCCAGGTTAGAGCTTTCCACACCTATTCGATCCGTATATTACTAAACTGTTCACATACAAGATGAATTCGACTGACCTCCCCAATCATCTTATATAACCAGGGAGGCATAAGTTTTTCTCCTAAAATATTGGAGATCTCTTTATAGAATCGCAGGCGGCTTTCCGGATCACCTTCTCATGCACCAATCTTAACCGGTGCATCTTCCAAGCCTAAAAGAGTCATTATACGATTTAAAAATCTAGAAGGGACATCCAGCTGTAATGCAGATCTGCGTTTTGAAATGTCAAGGTACCTACGTTTGTGCGGAGTATTTGTTGCTTTTCAAACTACAGTTTGCAAAGCTCTAAAACATGTCGCTCTTTTTAAGGTAGTTGGAAACTGATATGTCTAAAAGCATCGTAAAATGGCTTAAGAGCATTCTCCAGATAAATGAAGTCATTCTAGATAACGGTTTCTTAAGTAAACAATAAGTTTGGTTTAAATTTACTACTATCCTCAGTAATCATCAACGGCCCACCGAGCGAAAATACGTAGAGACACCCGTGGCACCTCTTTCTGTACGCTGACAATTTCGCGTTACTAGAAGCAACGACCATATTAACGACTTTCAAAAACTGCATCGACGACCTCGAACTTAAAATTAAAATGCGAAGTATCGAAGCAATGAAATGACAACGATAGATTTCATTAGGTCTGGAGTCATAGTAATCCCAGATGTTAATTCCGTTACTTACCTGAGTCCTCGGACGAAGTCGACGATTATTTGACAAGTACGTTACCAAAAGAACACGGAAGACTCTGCTGGATAATATAACGACACAGAGATCTATGCAAATTCCTACTATAATGGCGATGACCCTTTTTGATTGTGCATCGTACGAACTCCCATTGATATGATATGAGAATACTTCAAAGTAAGTCAAAAATGCGAGCTCATTCGTGAAAGTTCGGCCTACCTGGAGCCTAAACTCGGTCTCCACGTCTTAGGCAAAAACCCATTCGCCTACTTCCTCTGTCAAACACAGGAAAGACTGAGACAGTTTGACTTAGAGAAGTGGAAACCTCTGAACATGAATATGACACAAATTTCTGCAAAGTTAGTGCAATAACTAGTCCCGCAAAAACGGAAAGTGGAAGAACCACATCGTGAATTAACACGCGATGCGCAGGTTTTTTAGTTATCACGGATTACGTCACAGGGGTCACAGCGATTGCGAAGAAGGCCGCAGCCGATATGCAGAGGGCTCTGGCCTGTCCTCTCTCTCTCCGTAACGCGTAAGCGCGCATGTCAATGACACCGTACACGCATGCTTCTTTTTCCAGATGTCTTTTATAGCGTGTTGGATATGCAATGTTGCTCTTGTAACACGATTTCGGAGCAACCGGTGTTAATATATATATATATATATATATATTAAAGTTGTGGAATAGGATAACCGTTAACATACGATAATGCGTTTGTAAAGGGAGGTGAAGAATATATAAAGCTTTCATGTTGCTGCGGAAAGATTGGGCTTTAGACCAAAATGACTGTTGTACGGTAACTTTACCATACGTCTAATTTGTTTGTATAATGTTTGTAATATTTATATGTAGATCGGCATTACTAACATATTATAGATCTACCACGTGAAAATGACGGTCAAACTATTATCACTCAAGGCTAGTAGATTCTAATTCAGCATAGCCAATATGTACACAGAACGCACAGCGAATAGTAAGCGATCAGTGTTTGAATGTTGTACAGCGAGCACTAAAAAAATATATGGAAATAGTTCAGCAAATGAAATTCCTTATAATTGTTATCATTAAAGCCTTGCGCCGGAAACTGTAGAGCTGACCCCAAATACAAAGCAAACTTTTCGAGTTTGTACGAAACTTTGTGTACTGTAAAAACATTACGAAAGTAACATTCCCAATAAATAGAGAGATACAACTACTGGGTACGCTAAAAATTAGTTTACTATATATCAAATTAGACTGTGCATTCGAAAAAATTCTGACTACGTACATCGGCATTGCTTGTTTTTTTTTTTTCTAAGAAAACACGCTATACTATAAAGCTGAGAATTTCTCTTACATTATAATGTACAGCAAAAAAACCGCCACGGCGTAATAAGCTATTCAGCTAAATCTAATCTTCTAAAGCAAAATTCGTGCGCAACAACAGTTACACAATTCTCTCTAAAATGTTACGTGTCAGATAGGTCTACGATACCAGTATAGCTGACGCTAGCTGACGCATATTGGTTATGTATTTAACACACAAATTGAACAGTGAAAGTAGCTTTGCCCTCATGCTTGCCCTTTGCTCGTCTCGAAGTTGCAAAAATCCAAACAATATTTTTACTGCCTCAAATAATGGTCCAACAATTGACACCTTACAAGAGTAAGGAAGGTATATCCATCCAACTACAGATAACGCTTAGACACTACTGAGCCCAGACTGAGATTGGATGGCTTCAAATATTGACCGACGCGCGTTTGTGAGAGTCAGTGGTTCGTGTATCAATGGGAAAGAAACAAGCCGACGGCGACGCGTGTGCCAAGTGGAAACGCAGTGTTAATCTTGGCTTCTGGTTAGAGCCGTTGTCAATTGTTGAGGGTGCACGGGCCCAGTAGTAACGATGGGAGAGTTGTAGGGTGCGCACTCGCATGTCGAGTCCCATCTCGCAACTGAAAGGCCGTGAGAGAATTACTGCTTGTACCAGCAACGGTTAGAATTATGTCGGCAAACATCGCACCCAAAAACAGAGAACTCGGACGCGACAGAGCCGTACTCCAGAGGTTTCATATGTGGTGCGGAAACCAGCTATATGGCTTTCATTGATTCTACCTTCTCACATAACAGCACTCTATAGGGGAAAGTAGCCCCGAGAGTGTCCCCACTTGAAAAATACGAAAGCCAGTCAGATAAACGGACATTACGTTATTACAGCATTTATGAAATGGCACTGGTATCGCTGCAGACGCCGCTGGATTGAATAAGTGCCCTGGACCTGTAAAACATTTCACCGTAATCGGTATGTTGATAGTCGCTTCGGCAGCGCATTCAGGTAGAGCATTAGCTCAGCCAAAATTCATCTACTCCTGGCTATCTCTGAAGAATACATTTATTCTTCTGTGAAAAATCTGTGTAATGAAAAATTTCACAAAGTTGATAGGACGAAAAATTGTTTTCGCTAACCGTTTCACCTGTTGACGTAGTTTACGTGAACGATTACCTCCTTATATAGAAACCCTTAACTTGTCCTGTGCACCACGTATGGAGAGAATTGTTAGTCTTTCATTTTGTACGAAAGTGAGAGTTTATAAGAAGACTAATGATATGTTCCTCCGAGATAGTCCGTGATGAAGGGCAGCGATTTTATAAAAACCGATGTGAAACATCTCTGCTAGCCTAACATTTAGCCTAATTTAGTTTACATTACGCTTCAATTTAAAGACATCTGTAAAGGTGTGCTTCCAGACTCAACGATGCACCAAAGACCACAGAAAAGATCACGTTCCTTCTGTGTTATGGAATGCACCTTAGAGTGATAGTAAATCCACTGGATAGATTGATCAGGCGCAATTAAGTCGGAAAACGGATACTTCCTTTCAAAATGTGTGGCGGTAGTTTCTGTCAAAGCGAGCTGAACAAGCCAGGAGGTCATCGCTCTGAAGCTTCAGTCGGCAGGTGTACACCACATCTGGCAGTGACCTGTAGTCTATGTATTGGACTATTTTTCTGCGTCTTTGGAATGGTGTCCTATGCTGCCTTTGGACCAATTTTAAGGCAGCAAGTCAAAGCGGTTAGTAACCTATCAAATGTACTTCGATTTAAATTTTTTTTGTTCTTCTAGAGCACAGGGTCTGCATACAAACGAACAAATGTTTAAATAGCGCCAGACCAAACACAACGGCTAATCCGATTCTTATATCGAGTAAAATCAACCATTAGACATTAGTGTCTACTCACGGCTTGTTTGTGCCCAATTGTTGCAATGTCTATGACGAACAAAGCAAATGTTTTTTTTTTTAAATTATTATGTGTAATCTAACTAAATTTATACTCCAACAAATATCAAAGTACTTCAATAGCTTTAATCATAAACAGATTATTTAAAAAGTGGAACACGATCAATACATTCAGCTCTTATGTGTACGAGGTGCTCGCCGATGTTCGCGAACTCTCAATGATGGCGCCCACTTGACCCTAACGGAAGGTTCAAGGATCTAAACCTAAGGGTGATAGCGGAAAGCTCTATCGCGTAGCCAAAAATTGATTCCACATTTTATCAAACTGCCGCTTGTATCGTTAGCTGGAGCATTTCTCTGCGTGTCTAGTATCATCTTTTAGCGGAATTTCGCGATCTTTTGTAGACGGTTTCGACGCCATTCGTATCTTATGTATGTGGATACATATTTCGAGGCTTTCGTGTCAACTTTGCTTGTATGTACAATCTGATCAAAAGACATACTGCGGATAGCCATTCCACAACAGCTTTGTAGCAAATCAATGATTAGATAGTATTCCGAAACTGTGTTAAATAGTGTTCGTTCTTTTAAGGCCGTTGCTATTAGAGTTGTCGTATTGTGTTGCTAACATACCCGAGAGTAAGACTTCCGTGTGATGGAGCCACGATGGCCAGCGTTATCGGCCTAAATACGAAGGTCACTGTGTATATTCACAGATACGTTTCTTAGTGATAGTATTTGAGTGCTATCTAATATCTAGTTCTGTTGAGCGCGCCAATATTCGCGTATACACAATACGGTATAATTAATAGAATTAAGGAAGTACTGGGACACAACTCTAATACTACGCATTAGTTTTTTGACGAGCCTGCAGCACCGGATTAGACGATAAATCAACATATATTACGGCTTCACCTCTGACAGTTAGTTGATCAAGCTAATTGCTTCAAGGTGGACTTCTTTCCATAAATTGATGGTGGGCTGTAGTACATTTCCACACAGGAGGCTTGAGCCTCATAGTATCATACTAGAATTGCCCGTAACGAATCGTTAATAGGTCTAACTTAATACAAGGATACCGTCAACTTCAGACTAACTTTAAGCTTCTTCCATATTTAATCATTACTGGCCTTCTGTGATCGGACCTGGCAAAACCTGCTGAGCAAACACGGCAGAGAAAGCAGACTTGAATCTCTCAAAAATATTTCGTTTTAGCGACTTGAACGCCGACAGCAACGCAGCTTGAGCTCACTGCTAGTCGTTTTTTTCCACAAAGGACCCAACCACGAGACGCATCCGTGCTTCCGCTAGTGAACCATGTCTCCACCGTTACATGCAAAACTAATATTAGCAACAGAGCTCATATGTACAGTTAATGTTTCATGTTAATATAAAAATGGGACGTAATCAGCTAACGGCTCTTTGAAGCACCATGTTCCGTAAAATAACTGTGGTAATCGATAAATGTAATGTTACACATAAATGACAGATTATTTATATAGATATAGTATTCCCCTAAATATTACTAAAATGCTACGTCGGTACCATGTTGATAAGGGAAGCTGACGCGGACGTCATTCTAAGACGGAAACTCAATCTGTTCAAGTCTTGCGCTAGCTCTAAGGGTGGCTGATTATACATTGATCATTCCCGTTCTATAGAACAGATTGACCAGTGGCTATCATGTATACAGTTATCCGGGCCACAAGAGCCTGCCATAAAAAAATATGCTTGTCATTTATTACAACGAGATAATGTCCGTTTAAAAATCCGAGTAAGCATCATCCTTCACCTTATGCCATTAACGCACCATCAACTTCCATGTTCCTTAAAAAGGAATAAAGACACTTCCCCGTTACCAGGATAAGAATTATAGATATTGCCACAGACATGCTGTCATTGTCCAGTAGGGGGCAGCAATTGGGAGACCTCGAAATGCAGCACTCCGTAGAATGACTACACGTTTGAATTCAGACAATACTCCAACAAGCGACATCCGCTGGTTCGTTTTCTCTGTATGAACTGGCAAATATCGCTCGAGTGTCGTCACGGCCCATAGTTGATCCATTGTGCGCTCTACGGGCTTTCGCCATGCTGTGCATCATCATTCCGATATGAGACTTGCCGCGATGCCGAACGTTGCTCTTGTTCTGATATGTTTAGCTATATATTGGTTAGACGATCATTCGGAGTGGCATAGCGCTCTGCATTCTCAAGCAAGCACCCATTCCCTAAGATAATCCCTAAAGCCAATGAGTCAGCACCGTTGAAGATAGTGTTTCGCAGGGGTTTGCTTGCTCGACACGCATAGACGGAGATCCCCTCCGCGGAGAGAACTCTGCCGATTGAGAATCGTACGCTCCAAAGCATTGCCGGCTTAACGATTGTTGTATTAGAGGTAATAAATAACATAGAGTCTAAAAGTTTCGTGTGACGCGACATGAAACAGAACCATTAACTCTACGGTCAAAGATAATCCGATCGGCTTCGTCAGAGGTATCATTAAGAATGTAAACGTTGTGAATAGAACGGGTGAGCTCTTAGACATACTTATCGTGCCACCGTTGACTCAGGCTGCATGACGTTTATGATGAAATCCAAAACATACCTCATGTAAGATTACTATAGCGAAGAAAGTTCATCGAGCGGTTGTCGAGCGGTGACTCAGACGTTCTCTTTGTCATCCACAGAATTTGATAATTGACCCATCAAATGAAGTTTACGAAAATTGGAAAGAAACGCCCGTACCGATTTACGTCAGCATGTTTCTGTTCAACTACACAAACCCTGATGACATTATTCTCGGTGCTAAACCAAAACTGCAACAATTAGGTCCGTTTGTTTACAGGTAAATCAACTGTTTGTTTTTCGGTCATCATTGAAATCAGATGATTAAAGTCTATCTTTAGGTAAATATGAAAAGAACATCGTAGTGGTCCTCTATTGTACAGTTAATCTACCTGAATAACCGCTTTGTCTTGACAACTGGCAGATGTCGCTTTTCCCTTTAAAGTTCACGTTCTATATATATACTAACTCTATATCTATATATATATATATATATACTATATATAGGACCTTACATCTCGAACGAAAACAATATTATGTACAAGAAGATTTTGTTTGTTAGAACACCAGTCTTCGAAGCAGTGGGTTAGCCGAATACTTGGATGAAGAAACCCGCCGACCCAGTACAACTAGCATGCATTATTAAAAAAATTAGGTTCACGTTGAGTAACTCTATCACAGGTACACGATTTCGATAATACCAGTTACATATGTAGTCGACCGTACATTTTCACAATAGGTAGATCGTATCAGTTGAACATAATGACGATGACTGATCTAAAATAGTTTTATTCTGGGTTGATTGCTTTCATTGTACCCTAAGAGAACGTCGCCAAAAGGTCAATATCACCTTCAACGGAAACGGTACTGTATCTTATCGGCAACTATTGTCGTATGAGCATTTACCGGAGCTAAGTGCAAGCAGCCTTGACGTCAAGTTGTACACGCTCAACGTCCCAATGATCGTAAGTTACCTTACGCACGAACTTTCAAAAATTGCATTGCTCATTGAGAGAAATTGAATTTACTTACTCAAAGATTATACAAGAATGCAATACTGGTGGTCGACTTCAAAGGTAACAGACCCCGCAGCCATTGTGGAGTGTCTTATATTCTATAGTTCGACTTACGTGTTTCTTGAGTAGACAGTGAATTACTCTTAAAGTAGATTTATTTTTTAGGGAGCAGCTTACAAGAATAGAAAAACGCCTTCAAACGAAGAACAGCCTATGGCTTCTGCACTTGAGGAAATGTTCAGTAAAATGAATCAGTCTCTCTTAATTCACAGGACGGTACGTGTTATTTCAGTTAGCATGCTTTTTGCTAGCAAACGCCTATCGTAGCCGTTAGAGTGTTAGATACGATATGGTCTCTACCAATGTGTGGAACTTCTGCATGAGCTGAGGAGAAGAAGATAGGATTCAGCTTACATAAGCTGTGTATCAGCAATCGCGGAATCCTTAACTACGTAAATGTACACGTTTCACGTTACATTAACTCATTGGGCCGCTTCAAAAAGCGTACTTTAGTTAAATAGTGCCACGGTGAACGTAGAACGCTTTATTTGAAAAAGAAAATAAAGTTCGATTGTTTGTGCAAAAATAGGTACGCGAACTTCTGTTTGACGGTTACGAAGACCAGATGCTCAAGCTTGCCAAGCAATGGAGCTGGTCTCCAACAACGCGTTTTGGGTACCAGATTGATGTGAGTACATCGATAGGCGTATTGTCAAAACATAAACTGACCAGTTAGGTTACACTTATATCGCTAAATTTATGATGGTGGCGCGACAATGACTGTTCTAGAAAAGTTTCCGTTTAGTGTAGGCAAGTTCCTTACAGATACGACGCTGCTTGATAGATTATATACGGGTGTATCATATTATTAATGTTACTGGAACAACGACAAGTTATACGCAACTGTTCCTACTGAAGTTCCTTTATTTCGCAGCGTAACAATAGCAACGATGGGATCTACACCGTATTTACGGGAGAAAATGGAATGGCCAATTACGGCACAATAGAAAGCTGGCAGGGAAGACACCGTGTAATAGGCTTTCGTAAATCATGTAGCTTTATCAATGGCACAACTGGCGAAATGTGGCCACCGTACACGCTCACGTCAAAGAGTTCGCTTCTATTTTTTACCTCGCCTCTCTGTCGGTCTCTTCGGCTGGATTTTCTCCGCAACGAAGTTGTCAAAGGGATCCAGGTAAGCCAATACGTTTTTGTCTCTGTGTTATATTTGAAATTTTTGAAAATATACGAATAACAGTCGCGTCATCTTCGCCATTGTATAAATCGAATGTTTGTGACAAATGCGATGATATTCTGTTAGAGATATATTATATAACGTAAGGATTACGTTGTGCTACTCCGTTACATGAAACAACTCTGTAGAAAATAACTCTTCAATGCTGGAGAAATAGCAGCTGCTTATGCTTTAACTGTAATGACTTTTTAATAGTAAAGAAAGGGTTGTACAATATAGTACTGTTAATAGTAATTTTATATAAAAAAAAATGCTTGCAGTTTATGCTATTGAAGATCTCTTCCAATTCACGGCTTTTGTGTGTATGGTCGGCTTGTAGGTTCTGCGATATCACCTTAATGAGCGCCTGTTTGACTACAGCATTGAGGAGAATCAGTGTTTTTGTTCGAAAAAGAAAGGCAAGGATCCCGAATGCTTCCCGAACGGTGTCCTTGACCTCAGTAGGTGTCAATCTGGTATGTACTGGTATTCGAGTTACTTATCATTGTAGCAGGCAAGAATAGGCAATTCGTTGAACGGCAAGTTAGCAAACCTTTCGTACTCGTTTGTTGGGCTTTACAGATGCACCAATCGTGGTATCCCTTCCTCATCTACTCTATGCCTCCCCGTCCATTACTGAGGCAGTAGAAGGCCTTTCTCCAGATCCGCAGTTACATGAATTTTTTATGGACGTCGAGCCGTCCATGGGAATTCCTTTAAGAGTGTCTGCTAAAGTACAAATGAATGTCATTGTTGATGCCTTCAAATGTGAGTATAAAACCTCTATATAAATTTTACGATTCTGGCTCGCTTTTTTTTCATGAACATTCCTACAATACGTCACTTAACAAAATACAATCATTCAGTAAAATAATCGTTTGAAGATAAGCCGCAGAGGTAATGTTTAATTACAAAACCCTTATATTGTGCTTTTTGCATAGACTTCAAATACTTCGAAATGTTCGAGACAAGGAAATTCCTGCCGACATTCTGGATCGAAACTGCCGCCGTAGTCAACGATGATTTTGCCTTTAAGATCCGTCTCGTTGTCCAGGATCTAGGTAGTTACGTGAGCTTCGCTTCATATGCCTGGGTGCTTATTGGACTATTCATCATCATGTTTACTCTTGGCTACGTTATAGCGCATACGCGAAGATCGGTACGTCGTAAGTACATGACCAAAGTCCGGCCTGACGTTGCAAAAGGCACAGAAAGGCCGGGCAAGAGCCTTGATACATATCGCGTTTTCAGAATCACTGATAGTTCAGGCACAAATTCTGGAAGTAGGGCATGTTATGATAAAAACAACTGCACGATCACTAAGCGTATGGTCAAAAGATCAGCGATATGTAGAGGCACTCAAATCAAAGTAGATAGCACTGAGCAGAGCGATAACATGAACGCGGACGAGTTAAAAAATGAATTTAAAAGTGACAGTAATCTAAAGCTAGAAGAAGAGGATGAATATAGATTCGGCAATGCCTCGCTAATACAAAGCCCGGAGGATAAATCGGAAAATGTGAATGATCAAAATACAAGCGTTCCTAAATCAGTACTTTCGGGCAGTCGGGAAAACCCAATCATTGATAACAACTATAAAATCCTAGTATCTACTGAACAGGGTGGCTATCTAAACGTCGCTTTTGAAGAGGAAACATTACCATACAGTGCAAAAACTGAAATAATAAGCACTCTGTAAATATAGTCAATCGAATACGAACCTTGTCTCTTAGAGAAGACACCAAAATTAAAGTAAGTACTTATCACTGAAAACTTGGCCATTTTACGCATCCCATCTCGTACTTATATCGACAGCTTTATATAGCAAACCTTTGGAGGTGTTCATATGAATTAACCCGTACTTCCGAAAAAATAAATAGCTAATGACATTAAACAATGAAGAAAATATGTGCTATCCTTTCGTGACATGTCAGTGCATTTGGGGTCAGAGTGTTTTGCAATACAAGTTTCTGGGTTCGTGTTTCCTATAGCCGACGAGGGCAACGTTTGAACGCTGTCTTATTACAACAACACAAGCATGACTAACCATCTTCCTACTTATCTGTCCAAAATACATACGTAGTTAATGCAATAATATGTTGTTGAAATTTTTAAACTGATTCAGGTCCGAACAAACATTTTACCTGGCAATCTCTTTTATATTGTATTCATCCTTTTAATTTGGCTCTCTTTAACATCTTTTTTGTTTCATAGATCCTATAGATACACTAATTACTTTTAGCTGCACTTCATTCCTCTGTAGTATGGTTAATCAATCTATCTGTATGCCCTTAACACTTGAGCTTTTTTCTGTCCTTTGGTCCTGTGCGATTGTTCATTGTTATTATTGATTTCAGAGAATGGGACAACCTTCGCCTTACGGCTACAGTACTATCAAAATGGCCGAAGTCGTTACTGGTCGTTGAATTTCTTTATCGAAAGGCAGACTATACGCTTCCTGATGATTTCTTTCGGCGTCCAAAAGCATCGGCAAGAGTAATAGACGCGTTTCGCGCATAGGTCTTTTAACATTCTCGCGCGAGCAACTAGACTAAAGTCATTGACATTCCGACGAACCATAACCATGTCCTTTCATGTGCCGCTAAGGAAAAAGTTCAGCGGGAAAAAGGATCGTTTGTGAACGTCTCGGGGGGTTGTCGACTAATAGTTTTTCGTTGAGAAAAATAGCAAAATGCTATTGGCACCGAGAGATTACCGAATTTTTAGCTAGTGACACAAGTTTCATACTCATTTTATACGTTCTTATCTAGCAGAAGCTAATGTATAAATGCTCAATATTGTCAAGGTGAGTAGGTATTGTAAATAGAAAATATTAAAATGAGTAGTATTCCTACTATTGCACAGTTTGTTATGCCACAAAATAATCCGTGTTCCCAACTTGACATTTATACAATGAGCCGATTTTACTGACGCCTAAGTATTGTAGCAGGAATGACTGCTTGGCAATAAAAGGATGTTTCTGAGATTTCCATTCATTGTTGAGTTTTTTTTTGTAGTATTAGGTATTCATTAAATAGGTAAAAATTAGATTAGAAATTAAGTAGGTAAATGCCGTTCATCAATCATTCATACAAAAGAGATATTTTTGGGCCTAATTTTGGCAAGTTCCACAAGTTTCATAGGCGAATGATGCCTATGAAACTTGTGGATCGATACAGCCGACGTACTGCGCTTACGTACGTTACGTTATGTAAGAATCGATGATGCAATTTCAACCATGAAAAGGAAAATGAGAAATCATGGCTGATTCTAATTTCTGTTCTGATCTGATAATTGCATTGCTAATTCTGGTACATCGAGCTTCGGCTACTCACTCAAAAAGCAGTATAGTGCAATATCAACTATAGTATATAGAGATAGTCTACTAGCAATAAATGTAGATATACTTCTGTAAAGACAAAAACATGACATAGTTTGTATTACTCGTACGTTAATCGTGCTTATCTATTTTATCAGACTGACAAAAAAAAATGACCCTCAGAACGTGCGCTTCTTATACTTAGTAGCGTAAAATTAAGGACAAAGTCGAGTGCGAGATGAGAGTTAAGTGTAAGCTGCCATTCAATTGTTGCTACCCACCAATCTTATTAGAGTATCGTCTTCGAATGGACCCAAATATAGACACGTGTATACACATACGAAACAAAATGTGTATAGTATTGAGATTCTAACACGCTTTAATATAATTTATAGCCGTTGTCGTAAGATTTAATAGTTTAAGTTAGGGATGATTGATAATATTTAATCGAAACTGCTCAAATTAAAAAAAAAAGATTAATATGTGGGATAAATGCGACATCGCTGATTTTGGTGCAATCAATAGTACAAGTTAATGCCAAGTGCTACTTAGGTATCGCTCTAAAATTTAGGACAACGACTTTATATTTCTAGATAGGACTATATGATAAGAGGTGTCTTTGTGCGTAGTTGTTGCGTCGGACACTACTTAGGACAGAATCAACGAGGATAATCATTTGGTCCTTCACATCAGAAATTCTATTTGGCATACGGTCTGTGCACAAAAACCATTCTAACTTCAGGTTTTGTCGTGATTATCAGATGAATAATAGTAATAGTAGGAATAGGCATTATTTCTTACTAAACGGTTGAAAATCTTACCTGCTGTTATGGAAGGCTAACACCAAAGCGGTTGAACACCAAACAAAAAGCGGTTGAACTCTGTTTAGCTGCTCGTAATGGCCCTGATGACTAAATTACGATAATCATAATAGAGAACCATTGAACTTTTCGTTAAGTTGCATAAGTTTCATTTACAATGCATACATTTTATCGATCAACCATATATCTGAACATCACACTTGAGTAATTTTGAGTTCCAGAACAAACTTATGTTTATTTACTTTGTCTTGGATTTATTGGCTGTCCGATACGTTGTAAATATAAACAAGAAAATCTTTGAACAGTATGAAATGTTTGCATTGTTCCTTCCTGTTCTTTATGTTGCCACTAGATACCGCACTGTAGATACAAGTCTATGAAACATTTATTTTCATTTACTCATCATAGCCCAAGGATACATAATTGCTAAAAATTAATTTTTATCAAAGACGTCAGTGAGCACATCTTGTCCATTTTAAATTTTAGTTAAAGAATATAGGTATTCAAAGCTCTTGCATTACTCATCAGTTAGCTCAGTGCCATCTTTGCAAAGCAAGCACTATTTTTGGGTACTTCATTCAATTTCAAGATAATAAGCCACCCAGTTTTGTAAAGAAAAAGATTACCTTTCCTCTTTGATCCAACAATGGCCTTAGTAAAAAAAATCGCTTTGCGGTATCAATTAAACCTTTCTGAACTTTTGCTTCCTCGTCAGTCGTCGCCGTAGTGTTTGCTAAGTCATAGAAGCGATCATTCGCAAGCTTTTGCTAACTGAATCTTTGTTCGCTGACCTTGTGTACTTCTGAGTACTTTGACATCTGCATAGATACGAGTAGGTACATGCATATAGAAACCTAGGCGTTTGCAAATATACGGTAAGACTAACAACCTTCATATACTTGCCAGAACATTGGGGCACTTAGGCAGCCATATTTAAATTATTACTCTTATAGTGAACGTATGCGTTCATCGGGTTTGGTTAGCGGTGAAACATAATTGCTTGTAAGTTAGCCATTTTAGAAATCACTGGTGTATAAGACCACTTTTTACAATGACGCGCACCCATATGTGCATTAAATAAGTCGTACAGTTGTTCAAAGTCATCGCCATGTTTCTACGTATATCACACTCAGTCCCATAGATTGCTTGCTTGACCCTATTTTTAGTGCTAGAACGCTTTCTAGAACCAACTTCATCGCTGGGTACGTCGCAGTGAGCTAGACGAAGATATTCTCTTTCTAATGTAAAAATCATTAACACGAATGAATCAGCGATGTTTACCTTCTGCACAGTTCTTGAGATTTGTAGTTTAGTTGAGGAATGATTATGCCCGCCAATGACGACTACACAGGCAACGTTTCTCATAAACTTTGAGCTTGAACATCCATATCGACGCGAAATGTTCATTTTGGTTTATAGAGCTTATGTCCGCGCCGCCGCCGCCGCCGCCTCAGGTGTTTGGCAACGCAATAATACAAGCAAATCGTCACTCTTCTACACGTCAATTTGCCAAATGGCATTAAGGTCGTAACTTTACACACCGCTTTCGGACAGCGTGTACTTAAATAGGTTACCTTGTTCCAGTTGACCGCCATCAAAATTCTAATATCATTACATGGCGAAAACAGATCTGCTCCATTTCCTTCTCTCAGGACAGAAATGTAGATACATCCTTTGTAACTCTAGCTCCCTTGATGCTGCAAAGGATGGTCAAAGATAGGTAATTTCGTTTGCGCTCCCCTCAAAAAGCCAACATACCCCTTTATTTGACTGGTGGATTTACTTAGGTTGTGCCTAAGGCCACCGAATCTCTAGCAACAAAAAAAAAAAAAAGGGATTGTTGCCCAATCATTCGATGCGACGCTTAAATTAGCTCAAAGTCTATTGAGCATTCCAATTGTCTCTTCAAATATAGACTTAAAATTAGATTATAGAAACACGTAGAAGTTTTTCTGCACAGATTTTCTGCTCAGGACGTAAGTCGTCACAACGACACACTCACATAATAGCATCCGATTACATCGATGTATAATTTATTCCGTTTTAGCTAGATCCAGATATAAAAAATGAGTTAATAACCGCATATCTTCACATTTACGCAGTAATATTACGTTACGTTACGTTAGATAGATAGATATACATATATATAGTATATTGATCGAATGCATGTTGCCCTTTTAACCGCCCAAACGGTTTGTATCGGTCTAAATTTCACATAACACTTATCGATAGCATTTATAGTATTTGTTTATTGTAGTATTTTATTTTAAATCGGCAGAGGGAAGCTCAAAGTTCAAAGACAACAATAAACAAGCGGTATTTAGTTTACGTTCGTTGTAAACAAATTTCATAAATGTTATGCACAAGGTCCATAGCATATCAGTGGACGCAAGTGTGCGAAGGATCCGTCCAACGATGACTGAAAGGATGTTCAACATGAACCTTGTCCTGAAACATCTTCGTAGACTGGGGCATTATTGGAATTGTCCGCGCTCATTGAGTGGCTTAGTATAACCAGTGCGGATGTGCATTTTCCCGCTCTCGAATCGGTACTGGAAGGTATAGGTCATCATCACATTTAACATAGCATAACTGCGGTAGATATCCTCCTCGAAGGGACGCAATCTGAAGGTTCCATTTGAAACTGTTCGCATACGATTCGGTTACAGCTGTAGTGGTACCGCACTAACGATTGATTTTAGGCTTAGTGAAAATAATATGAATCAAAAAGGTCAAGAAAGAGAGACTAATAGCGACAATAAGAGCTTGTTTGTTTTTCTGTTAAAATTCATGATTGGTTTGGCTCGTACGTTGGCGCCTCTTCTGAGTATTCGTTGCTCGAGGTAAATAGGGGCCCCTTTAGGAGATACACCCTAAAATTCCTCCGAAAAAATGGTGCTCGTTATAGGCATCTCCAATGAACCACCATGTCAACTTTGGAAACAATTGGAACCTTCTTTAAGTGACCTTTTAAGGAACAGGTAGAACTTTTTAGGCTTTTGAGAGCACACCGCTCACGGCAGCCCAACGCCTATGTGGAGTTCATTCAGCTTGCTCCACAGCTAAGACATGTTACCGGCAACTTACACCGAAGAGTCTTTTCTGTTTAGTTGGTAAGTAAATATTTGTCGTATTTGTTTATCTTCCTAAATATCAATTTTTAGAGTTCAAAATGTAAACGTTTTTCTAATTCCAACAAAACGACGTGACCCCAACGCACTGACAAAAATAATCAGCAAACAAAAATAGAGAGAAAAGCACTATTAAAAATATAATTTTTTTTTATTATATTATTATTATTTCATTAGGACAGGATAAATCTCTAAGGACGTGTGAGGAAATTTTCGCGCAAGCTTGGATAGTTTTCAATCTAGAGGCCCTCGCCTATTTGCGTTCAAGGAATAATATCCAAATTCTAAATCGTTTCTATACATCTTTGAAGCGCGCCATTCATTTAAATATTGAAAGATAGCGTAGAAACCGAAACAATTTAGCTGAATTACCAATCAAATGGTGCAGTATACCTCGTTTAAGTTACCTCTCTATTTCCAAACCACGTTGTGCCGCGAATATACATCTCGGAAAAAATTTTTTTCCGAGATGTATATACTTTATTTTACGATTAATTAGTGCTTTCCACAAACACGAGGCGTATAAACAATGCACTGAAAGCTATCAACGGTAAATATTTCAATATGCAAACGTCACTTTCAGGCACAAAAATAAATAAATAAACAACAAACATGTTTGGGACTGGGGTCAAGAGAACGAAGTACCTATTGTATCAGTAACGTAGGCTCAACAAGCGCTATCGAAGATGTGGCACGTATAACTTTACGTGTAAGATCGCGACCTC